CGCTCGGGGCAATTTGATTCAGGGGACAGAGGAAGCTTGACTAGGACTCCTGTTGCTACTGCGGTAGTTCCAGTGAGGCATCTTGACGTAATTTCTGGTCATCACCTCTGTAGCGGAGCTACACAGCTCCTTAAGTCAGAGGAAGACTTAACGCTCTACGAGCAACTTAGTTCTAAAGAACTAACGACTTTACGAGTCAACAAGCTTTACAGCTTCAGATCCCTGTTCCAGGGGACCTAACGATTCAGTGAATCGACAGCACTTAGTGCTCAAGAGTAGCTACCTCAAGGAGGTGTCGCTAACTCTTAGTGATCAGAGATCAACGATCAAGACGGCTCGCAAGCCACGTGTCTTTCAGATCAAAATGGGAACTGATTTTATTTTTGTTAAAGCCTATAGAATATCTTAATCCTACTCAAAGATCTTTCGTATCTAATGGCTGACACTCGTCAGCCCCTACAAACCGATAAGATATTCTATATCACCTTCACAGAAGCGAACCCTCAGGTGTGTAACACCTCTGGTACAAAGTACCATGATTTCGTGCAACCCCGTTACACCCTCCCCCACCAGACTGACGTTTGCCAAAACGTCAATCGAACTCGTGTTCTCAGCGAGAACAGTGCGCGTACGGTAAACCTCACGGTAACGTACGCTCCAGCACGATGTCCTCATCACCAAACGAGTCAAAGGCTCTGTGTGACTACCTCAGAATAGAGGAAGAGGTGGACTATGGTAGCGATACCAGTGTCCGCGGTGACACAGGGACAACGTCCGGCTCACTGATGCCTGAGGCACAACTTTCGAACGCCCCAAATCCGTTCGCTGAACGTGGAGGTGCGAGCGCGCCGTCAGCGCAGCATGCAGCATCTGGTTCTGATGAGACTATCATCGCGAACCCGCTCGATGAGCAACAACAACTGCTTGTTCAAAGAGAAGAAAACGCTCAGCGTTATGCACAGATTACTGCAACCCTTGAACGCCAGCGTGACTATGTGTTCACCCCACCCAGTGTGGAGGAACGTCTGCGTCAAGCGGCCGGCCAAACATTGGCAACGTGGGTCATTGGCCATGGGCCTAAGACTCCTGAGGAGGTGGTGAGCTGCCAGGCACTTCGTGAGAGGTACCTGGAGCCGCACCTAACGACTCAAAGTCAATACAAGGCACGCCTTGACATGCAAGCACGTGGTGCACCAGTTCCACCGATGAAGGGTATACCCATTCTCCTGCTCGCAGGCGAAACAGCGAGTGAAGAAGACGATGCCTTTGTTCACTGGGTGCACTATGTGCGTCGCCTCAGCAACATTTTTGCTTTAAGGGCTAATGCCCATGCGGCGGATGTGCGTCTCGAACGCAAGCTTCGGTATGATTATGCCAAGCTTAAGGCCAGAGGCCAATTGCGCAAGCGCACGCGCTATGCTTCGGCTACTAAGGTAGCCGCGAGTGCTGGTCAGTCTGTGACCAACAACCCGCCAACCCGCACCACTAGTGGTGGTGAACGGCCTCGGCCTCGAGATGACCATGGCCACGATGCTCAAAAGCCTCCAAAGCATATGGGCAGTCTTGCCGAAGGGGTACCTCAAATTCCCATGAGTTTTCAGACTCAGGGTACCCACGCCACTTTACCAGATACTGGTATTGGCCCTGACGACGACGTCGTTTCATTAGTCTCTCGACATGGAATTGACGACACCCATGCTCATCGAGCAAAGTCGGTGGCGGCCGGTGAACCGGAGGAGGCCCACGAGAAATTGGTTCTCGAAGTGAAGGGTCTTCAAGAGGCCTTGTGTAAGTCCCAGTGCATGCTGGATGCGATGCAACGCCGCCTTCAGGCGATGGAGCAAGCTCAAACTCGGAGCGAGGCTCAGTTGGACTTGCTGATTCGTCTACAGCAATCCGGGGCAGTGCCCTTGTCGTCGGCGCAAGCGCCTCCAAGTTCACATGGGAAGGATCCCGGTACGGCTTAAGTAAGCCTACGTAGAAAACTGGATGTGTGCGCAATTTGCGCGGGAGGTTAAGCGTATACGCAAGTCCCTTCTTGGCCGTGACCGTAAACGGTCCAATAAAGCGTGGACGCAACTTTGTCTTAAAGACAGCAGACACTACATTTGTAGGTAGACTTTTAGCATTGAGTAGTACTTGGTCTCCGACCTCATAACGTTCAATACAATTTCTGCCTTTGGCATCAGCTTGTTGTTTTTGGGTATCTTGGCTATCAGCCATTGCGTCACGCACATGTCTTAAGACATTTAATCGCGTTGCGAGAAACTCGCTTACCTGTTTTTGAACAGTAGCAGGGCTGATATCAGCAAGCCGATCGGCAACCTCTCCCCGACCAAGCCCTGATTCACGTAGTGATAGCGTTAACGGAACGCGAGGGTGAGTGAGACCGTTTATATAGAACGGAGTAAAGCCTGTTGAGGCATGAACAGCGTTATTCAACGCAAACTCAACAATAGGGAGCATTGAGCTCCAACGCCTAGGCGTATCAGCGCAAACACTGCGCAAAATGTCGTTGATGACGCGATTTACACTCTCAGTTTGACCGTCGGTCTGCGGATGATCCGCTGTGGACATGTCCAACCGAGTGCCAAGCACCTTGAAGATAGACTTCCAAAACTTCCCAGTGAAGCGGGGGTCTCTATCAGAGATAATTGCCACAGGCAAGCCATGTTGGCGAAACACACGGTCGATAAACAGCTTTGCTGTACCTTCCGCATCAATGCTATCCGGCACAGCCGCTAAGTGAGCCATCTTGCTCAATCGGTCGACAAAGACCACAATACCAGTGTTGCCTTCCGAATCTTTCGGTAGGCCAAACACAAAATCCATGCTCATGGACTCCCAACAACCACTGGGTACCGGCAAACTAGCCAGCGGCGCCGCCGCATGTGCCGAGGGTTTTACCCGTTGACACGTTTCGCACGTACGCACATAGGTGCGCACCCACTTATAAAGTTTGGCCACCAATAACTTTGGCTCACCGAGCTATAAGTCTTCTCACGACCGAGATGACCACTTAAAGCAGTATCATGTGCCTCATAGAGGATCCGATACTTTAATTCCTCATCATGAGGTACTACGATACGAGGGTTGTCCTCAATATCCGTGCGATAGCACAACAGGCCATTATCGATGGAATATCGATGTAGCCTCGCACGTAAACGTGCCGACAATTCTATGTCCGAGTCTTTAAACTCATCGCTCCCAAGAGCACGTAGCAAAGCTACACACTGATCGTCCTTGGCATATGCCGCACGAATTAAGTCAGGGACTGACGACGACAAGGTCGTAACATGAGCAAGCTCATAGTCAGGTCGACGCGATAGCGCATCATCCAAAGCGTTTTGCTTACCTGGCTTGTACTTTACCTCGAAGTTATATTCGGCAAAGAATGAAAGCCAACGAGCCATTCTCTGTGAGAGATGAGGCGACTGCGTCGCAGTGCGCAATGACGCATGATCGGTATAGATCACAAATGGCTTCGAGCCAAGCAGATGGACTCTGAATTTGACAAGAGCGTACTTCATAGCAAGTAGCTCTTTGTCATGAACAGGATAGTTCTTTTCCGCAGCTTTCAGCTGTCGAGATTCAAATGCGATGACGCGTTCGCGTCCGTCAACATCTGTTTGTAACAGAGCACTGCCTATGGCAAAGTCAGATGCGTCACAGACGACACTGAAAGGACGACCAGAATCGGGCAAAGCCAATATTGGCGCATGAAGGAGACTCTCCTTAACTGCTTCAAAAGCATTATGTTCGGTGTTACCCCAACACCAACCCACATCCTTTTTAAGGAGATTGGACAATGGCCGAGCCATATCTGCGTAATTTGCACTGTACTTATGTAAGTAATTGGCAAGGCCAAGCCACTTACGCAAGTCCTTTTGGTTCTTGGGGACTGGCCAATCGACTATGGCTTTTACCTTAGCGGGATCCGCTCGAAGGCCTCGCTTCCCAATGAAGCACCCTAGAAAGGGAATCTCTTCTGCACCAAAGATGCACTTCGATGCGTTCGCATACAGCTTATTCGTTCGCATGCACTCGAGCACAGCTCGTAAATGATCAATGTGGTTATCCACATCTGATCGCCCATTCATTGCACGACTATGGACAAAAATTTCATCAAAGTACGTTTGTGCATAGCCTCGATGAGGTCTGAATAGTTGCGTTACCAACCGGTTAAATGTAGCCGGGGCGTTAGATAGCCCTTGTGGCATAACGAGCCACTCCCAAAGCATACCGCTCGGAGTACTCACCGCTGTTAGCGGAATATCGCTTGCTCGCATGAGCAGTTGGTAATAACCATCGACTAAGTCGAGTGCACTGTACAGTGTACATCCCGTCATATTGTTCTGAAGAACATCCTTTCTAGGAATAGGCGTCTGCGCCGGTATAGTGGCTGCATTAAGCTTATTGTAAGCATGCACAATACGCCACTTGCCATTTGGCTTTCTGACACAAAATGTCGGTGTTGAATGGGGAGATTTACTCTCACGAACCATTCCAGCCGCGTGCTTAGCACGAAAGAAATCATCAATGACGTAGCACTGTTCTTTAGGCAAAGGCCACTGCCGTGTTACACAGTATTTAGTCCCAGGAACCAAGTCAATCTCATGACGTACACCTCTATCGGGAGGTAAGGCAGAAGGTGGGTTGTGACACACCACATCTTGAAATTCCTTGACTAAAGGATAGAACGGATCCAAAGGATCTTTAAGGATCGAAGATCCACTTCGTGCACTAAGTGCCGCCTTTGTATCCTCTAGGACAGACTCATCCATTAACGAGGAAGAATTTAAGTCAGTATCAGGTCTAATGATTGCTAACTCGGATAACTCTCCTGCCTTCAAGGCCTGGCTAAACTCGCCATCAGACATTTCGTCTAGCTCACACAGAGCGTCCACAGATGGAAGGGTTTCGAGGCTCATGTTGCCATTAACCTGACCAGTCACTCCATTAACAAGTGTATATAGTGTATTGCTAATCTCACGATGTGACTATGAGGACGCCTGGCGCTTTACAGCTGCTACTCGGCGTCTCGATTGTCTCTTCGAGACCTTACACCCCTTAGGGGTCGGGACAATATTATCCCCATGGTTACTACCAACCATGGTACGCTCTACACGAGAGCTTTTGTCTTGACCGACATTAGGTGTGGTGCCCTCACGGCCGTCCACACTATACGGCGTATCGCCAACAGTGTCATTACAGACATTAGGTGTGGTGCCCTTACGGCCGCCCACGCTATACGGCGTATCGCCAACAATGTCATTACTGACATTAGGTGTGGTGCCCTCACGGCCGCCCACACCATATGGCGAACCGCCAACAACGCCATTACCGGCGTTAAGCGTGGTGCCCTCACGGCCGTCCACTCTATACGGCGTATCGCCAACAATATCATTACTGACATTAGTTGTGGTGCCCTCACGGCCGCCCACACAACATGGCGAATCGCCAACAACGCCATTACCGGCGTTAAGCGTGGTGCCCTCACGGCCGCCCACACTAAATGGCATATGGCCAAAAATGTCATTACCGACATTCAGTGCGGTGCTCTCACGGCCGACCGCACTCGGTGTAATTTCACGTGCCACCATACACACATCAAAGGAATCACGTCCTTGATCACTCGGCCCTAGGCCAACCATGCTTTCAGCATGCAGTGACTCGTTATCACAACGAGTACCACTCAACGGAGTACGTGCCGTTTCACTAGTCTTAGACGAGCTAGGCTCGAAACTTATGTTTTTAACATTGGAGTTAGATAACTCGGACATTCCAATATCCAGCACATTGACATCTTCTGTCAAAGGCTCGCGCCAATAGCGCTTCTGCTGCCTAGCAAAGGTGGGTTCATGACTCTCCAAAGCTTCGCTAGGAATATTGCGCGTAGCGCCTAAGGTCTTAGACCTCCAATCAATCCATGGCTCATGGCGCTCAAGCCAAGCCATACCTAGGATGAGATCATATCTCGAGTCCAAATCTAGGACAAGACAGCGCTCAATACTGTCAAAGTCTAAAAACTTTATACCTAAGTTCAATGGAACTTTAGGCACAGTAACGCGACTTCCAGTCGCTAAACGAACCGTGATAGAATCACCCTCATGCGCTGTAAGCGCCTCAGCATAACGCTGACTTCCCTCAAGGGAACGGCGTCGAGCATAATTGCAAGACGCTCCAGAATCGATCAATATCGACCAAGGCTTCTCGAAGCCCTTAATTTTCGCCTCGGCGACCAACAAGCCAGACTTGTATCCACGCACCATACCCGTAGGTATGGTACTCTTTGGGTCGAAGCCCTGCATTCCTTTACCTTCTAAAGGTGTAACAGAACATAGTTCTTCCCCAGTAGGGCGCCCCGCGCCTACTGGGTGTCGACATTTCCCCGTGCCATGCCAGACTTCTGACTCGGGCTCGAGTGTTGGCTCGTAGTCTGGCGTTGCTTACGCAAAGGGCAACCAGGCCGAAAGTGTTTAGTGCTTCCGCACGTAAAGCATCGTCTTACAACGTGTTTCTGCTCAGCAGCTTGAAGCTCAGCTTCACCTCCATCTTCAGCATAGCTGAGATCCATCGGTTCCGGCCTATTATAGGCAGTGGTACCCGAATAGTTTGCTCTCACAGAGCGAGGATTGTATCCGTTCCAACCAAGTCTGGCCGACTTGAAGTTATGCTCAGCATTAAGAGCAATTCTCATAGCCTCTTCAAACGTAGAGGGGTGAACCCGAAAAACTTCGGTTCTGGCAATGCCAGTACGTAGACCTTCCATGAAGATAGTCACATGGACTGCTTCAGGCAAAGGGTCAGACTGCATTGCAGCCATGAGCGTTCGCAGCTCTTGGACATAGTCCGATAATATATTCTTACCCTGGCGGGTAGAAAGAAAGCGTGAGCGCACGCGGTAAGCCTGGTTAGGTGGAGAAAACACCTGTACCAATTGTAACTTGAGCGACTCCCATGTGGGAAACGCTATGTCCACCGACGTGCTACACGTCAAGGCCCATTCTCTAGCTCTACCATCGAGCTTCGAGATAGCCAGCGAGACCTGTTGATGGTCAAGCGTGATCAGGCCTGATCTCATGGCCATCTCGATCTCACGGATCCAGAGGATGAGGTTCTCGCCCTCCTTACCGGAGTAGTTTTTTACTTCCACTCTAAGTGGACGAGGCTTAGCCTCTTCGTCTGGTACAGACACTTAGCGTGTAGGCATAGCCGACGCTATTTGGTCTTGGACCTGCCCTAAAAGGGTCGCTTCATACTGCATGAAGCTTTCAACACGTGCATTAAGCACTTCAGGACCTTGTGAAACAAGGAACTCCACGTACTCTGGACCCAAAGATGCGGTCAGCTTATCAAGCGCGACCTTTTGGGCCTCAGATAGGGGAGTGATGTTTTCCATCCTCACAGAGGATCAGTCTTAAAGACTCAGGCGTAGATTGACTACGAGTGCTACCAAGTGTAGCGGAGCTACACAGCTCCTTAAGTCAGAGGAAGACTTAACGCTCTACAAGCAACTTAGTTCTAAAGAACTAACGACTTTACGGGTCAACAAGCTTTATAGCTTCAGATCCCTGTTCCAGGGGACCTAACGATTCAGTGAATCGACAGCACTCAGTGCTCAAGAGTAGCTACCTCAAGGAGGTGTCGCTAACTCTTAGTGATCAGAGATCAACGATCAAGACGGCTCGCAAGCCACGTGTCTTTCAGATCAAAATGGGAACTGATTTTATTTTTGTTAAAGCCTATAGAATATCTTAATCCTACTCAAAGATCTTTCGTATCTAATGGCTGACACTCGTCAGCCCCTACAAACCGATAAGATATTCTATATCACCTTCACAGAAGCGAACCCTCAGGTGTGTAACACCTCTGGTACAAAGTACCATGATTTCGTGCAACCCCGTTACACTACAGGTGTCTGTAACGATGACGGTATATCAGCTGCAATTGCTGGTGTCGGCGGCGCAGTTGTAAAGCGACCACACCAAAACATACTGGAGACACACACGCTTCCACCGAAACGAAGTCTCGTAGGCATTGTTCTTAAACTACTTGTTATTTCATAGACGTTCCCTTTCACCAAACTGATTTTTGACCTGGCTATCATGAATGCGCTCGGTGTACTCGGAGACACTTTCATTGGAAGAATGTTACGTGTATTCATTCTGACGTTCAAGAGTATTGTTCGCTCTCCTGCATGCTACAGCTACTAGAGCAGGTGAGAAAGGGAATCTGAAGTTATCAACAAGACGTCCTCGAAGTTGACCATGAGCACTGGTACTAGAAACGTAGTAAATAATCGGATTGAGACGAGTTGATTGTCTTTGGTTGTATTCGTTGTCATTAAACTTACAGTTGACTGTATTTGGTGCGCTTCCTGCTCTTAGTCCTACAATGCACTTGCAGCGCGTCCAAATTACACTCGTTGAAGTTCCTCAAAATGGTTCAACAACGACGCAAATAAAGTTGATCGTCAAGAACATTTTGCCACAATGCGCAGGTGAGTGTCGATGTCCCGCAGGAGTGGTCCTGGTGCAGGGCACGTCGACAATGAATCGAATCACCCTGCAAAACGAAGAAGTTCCTACCCTTCACGGTCTGCCTACAACTCGCCGACACGTTCGCTGAGCACGAGCCCGTTTCCACGAAATGAACTCCCCCAAGACCGTGATGACTCACGTTGAGATCCAGTACCGGTTCTTCATGTACAGTAGCACCGAGCCAGATACTCGTCGTTTAGTGGTGCATCTGGGCACATTTGAGCACGTTGTGAGCCCGAGCCGACCTGAAGAGCAAAAAGTCGACTACGAGGTTGTAACGGGGTTGCACGAAATCATGGTACTTTGTACCAGAGGTGTTACACACCTGAGGGTTCGCTTCTGTGAAGGTGATATAGAATATCTTATCGGTTTGTAGGGGCTGACGAGTGTCAGCCATTAGATACGAAAGATCTTTGAGTAGGATTAAGATATTCTATAGGCTTTAACAAAAATAAAATCAGTTCCCATTTTGATCTGAAAGACACGTGGCTTGCGAGCCGTCTTGATCGTTGATCTCTGATCACTAAGAGTTAGCGACACCTCCTTGAGGTAGCTACTCTTGAGCACTAAGTGCTGTCGATTCACTGAATCGTTAGGTCCCCTGGAACAGGGATCTGAAGCTATAAAGCTTGTTGACTCGTAAAGTCGTTAGTTCTTTAGAACTAAGTTGCTTGTAGAGCGTTAAGTCTTCCTCTGACTTAAGGAGCTGTGTAGCTCCGCTACACTTGGTAGCACTCGTAGTCAATCTACGCCTGAGTCTTTAAGACTGATCCTCTGTGAGGATGGAAAACATCACTCCCCTATCTGAGGCCCAAAAGGTCGCGCTTGATAAGCTGACCGCATCTTTGGGTCCAGAGTACGTGGAGTTCCTTGTTTCACAAGGTCCTGAAGTGCTTAATGCACGTGTTGAAAGCTTCATGCAGTATGAAGCGACCCTTTTAGGGCAGGTCCAAGACCAAATAGCGTCGGCTATGCCTACACGCTACGTGTCTGTACCAGACGAAGAGGCTAAGCCTCTTCCACTTAGAGTGGAAGTAAAAAACTACTCCGGTAAGGAGGGCGAGAACCTCATCCTCTGGATCCGTGAGATCGAGATGGCCATGAGATCAGGCCTGATCACGCTTGACCATCAACAGGTCTCGCTGGCTATCTCGAAGCTCGATGGTAGAGCTAGAGAATGGGCCTTGACGTGTAGCACGTCGGTGGACATAGCGTTTCCCACATGGGAGTCGCTCAAGTTACAATTGGTACAGGTGTTTTCTCCACCTAACCAGGCTTACCGCGTGCGCTCACGCTTTCTTTCTACCCGCCAGGGTAAGAATATATTATCGGACTATGTCCAAGAGCTGCGAACGCTCATGGCTGCAATGCAGTCTGACCCTTTGCCTGAAGCAGTCCATGTGACTATCTTCATGGAAGGTCTACGTACTGGCATTGCCAGAACCGAAGTTTTTTGGGTTCACCCCTCTACGTTTGAAGAGGCTATGAGAATTGCTCTTAATGCTGAGCATAACTTCAAGTCGGCCAGACTTGGTTGGAACGGATACAATCCTCGCTCTGTGAGAGCAAACTATTCGGGTACCACTGCCTATAATAGGCCGGAACCGATGGATCTCAGCTACGCTGAAGATGGAGGTGAAGCTGAGCTTCAAGCTGCTGAGCAGAAACACGTTGTAAGACGATGCTTTACGTGCGGAAGCACTAAACACTTTCGGCCTGGTTGCCCTTTGCGTAAGCAACGCCAGACTACGAGCCAACACTCGAGCCCGAGTCAGAAGTCTGGCATGGCACGGGGAAATGCCGACACCCAGTAGGCGCGGGGCGCCCTACTGGGGAAGAACTATGTTCTGTTACACCTTTAGAAGGTAAAGGAATGCAGGGCTTCGACCCAAAGAGTACCATACCTACGGGTATGGTGCGTGGATACAAGTCTGGCTTGTTGGTCGCCGAGGCGAAAATTAAGGGCTTCGAGAAGCCTTGGTCGATATTGATCGATTCTGGAGCGTCTTGCAATTATGCTCGACGCCGTTCCCTTGAGGGAAGTCAGCGTTATGCTGAGGCGCTTACAGCGCATGAGGGTGATTCTATCACGGTTCGTTTAGCGACTGGAAGTCGCGTTACTGTGCCTAAAGTTCCATTGAACTTAGGTATAAAGTTTTTAGACTTTGACAGTATTGAGCGCTGTCTTGTCCTAGATTTGGACTCGAGATATGATCTCATCCTAGGTATGGCTTGGCTTGAGCGCCATGAGCCATGGATTGATTGGAGGTCTAAGACCTTAGGCGCTACGCGCAATATTCCTAGCGAAGCTTTGGAGAGTCATGAACCCACCTTTGCTAGGCAGCAGAAGCGCTATTGGCGCGAGCCTTTGACAGAAGATGTCAATGTGCTGGATATTGGAATGTCCGAGTTATCTAACTCCAATGTTAAAAACATAAGTTTCGAGCCTAGCTCGTCTAAGACTAGTTGAAACGGCACGTACTCCGTTGAGTGGTACTCGTTGTGATAACGAGTCACTGCATGCTGAAAGCATGGTTGGCCCTAGGGCCGAGTGATCAAGGACGTGATTCCTTTGATGTGTGTATGGTGGCACGTGAAATTACACCGAGTGCGGTCGGCCGTGAGAGCACCGCACTGAATGTCGGTAATGACATTTTTGGCCATATGCCATTTAGTGTGGGCGGCCGTGAGGGCACCACGCTTAACGCCGGTAATGGCGTTGTTGGCGATTCGCCATGTTGTGTGGGCGGCCGTGAGGGGCACCACACCTAATGTCAGTAATGATATTGTTGGCGATACGCCGTATAGAGTGGACGGCCGTGAGGGCACCACGCTTAACGCCGGTAATGGCGTTGTTGGCGGTTCGCCATATGGTGTGGGCGGCCGTGAGGGCACCACACCTAATGTCAGTAATGACATTGTTGGCGATACGCCGTATAGCGTGGGCGGCCGTAAGGGCACCACACCTAATGTCTGTAATGACACTGTTGGCGATACGCCGTATAGTGTGGACGGCCGTGAGGGCACCACACCTAATGTCGGTCAAGACAAAAGCTCTCGTGTAGAGCGTACCATGGTTGGTAGTAACCATGGGGATAATATTGTCCCGACCCCTAAGGGGTGTAAGGTCTCGAAGAGACAATCGAGACGCCGAGTAGCAGCTGTAAAGCGCCAGGCGTCCTCATAGTCACATCGTGAGATTAGCAATACACTATATACACTTGTTAATGGAGTGACTGGTCAGGTTAATGGCAACATGAGCCTCGAAACCCTTCCATCTGTGGACGCTCTGTGTGAGCTAGACGAAATGTCTGATGGCGAGTTTAGCCAGGCCTTGAAGGCAGGAGAGTTATCCGAGTTAGCAATCATTAGACCTGATACTGACTTAAATTCTTCCTCGTTAATGGATGAGTCTGTCCTAGAGGATACAAAGGCGGCACTTAGTGCACGAAGTGGATCTTCGATCCTTAAAGATCCTTTGGATCCGTTCTATCCTTTAGTCAAGGAATTTCAAGATGTGGTGTGTCACAACCCACCTTCTGCCTTACCTCCCGATAGAGGTGTACGTCATGAGATTGACTTGGTTCCTGGGACTAAATACTGTGTAACACGGCAGTGGCCTTTGCCTAAAGAACAGTGCTACTTCATTGATGATTTCTTTCGTGCTAAGCACGCGGCTGGAATGGTTCGTGAGAGTAAATCTCCC